AATTATAATTTAACAGCGGAATATTTGCATATGCACTTAGCATAAAGTTCTGTTGCCAAATGCGTTGATGAATGATGATTATTCAAAATTTCTCATTAAGACTTCGTGCGTTATATTAAACAGCAAAGATATCTCTGAAAATCCGAAGCATACAGTAATTTTATTGTGAATTACTTTTAAACATATCCGGTAACCATAATGTTCGCTTCCCATGGGTACGTGTAACCAGAGTACCAATAGTATCACATTATGCAGCTGCGCAATATATATATTATTATAATAATATTATCATCACCCAATTATTTCATTTCATAATAATTTTACGCGAGTGATGTCACTAACATGTCCAACATTGTATAACGAACTTTGAATTTGAATTCTAAGATATTTCTCTTTTCATCGGTATATTATAATGTAATATATTTTAGTTTTATTTTTAATTTTAAGTTATTTCGCATTGGATGATACCTTACGACACATTATTTTCACACTATACATGTTAAATTTTCCGTATAAAAGATATGCTTGCGCAAATAAACATATAATATTATATATTGTATAAGTACTACCAAGCGAGGTTAAAGTTGGTTAAGTTTATTAGCTTCAAAAGTTTGGTGCGGATTTCCGGCTTCTCCCTCGACGGCCGTGGTGGCAGAAGTAGCAATGATGTTGTCTTTATGTAACGCTACTTCCTTGTATATAATTTTGATTACCAACCATCCCATCCTTTTTACTCGGTGGACTTTTAGTGCGGGTAGCAGCCACCAGGCTCCAGCACAGTTTCCCCCTCTCTTTCCTTTTGTGAGATAAACGGTTTTATATACACGCATACATGCGAAACAGATATGACATTATAATAGCTGGGAAATTCCGTATATACCCTCCGGGTTACAAGTCACAACTTATCATTAACTTTCGACAGATTTTATATATAAACGTTTTTGCACTATGGATACATTCTGGTGCGGTGATGGTGAAAAAGTGAGGGAGTTAGGTAAATTATGGTTAAGATCCAAACTCTGTAAATACAACCACTGTTACCTCAGGCGGTACCAATTTATGATGGCATTATCATCGACTCCTATCAGGCTATCTAAAACATCCATGTTTTTTGTAATAGAACATTTATTGTTATATTTATGAATTTATTTTCTATAGGTAAAATGCATGCCTTTTCTAAATCAAGTCGTAATTTACGATAATTAAATGAAGAATAATACGTAGTTCTGAATGGTATTCGTAGATACCAAACTATATTACTGGAACTGTGTTGAAGTCACTGTGTTTGTAAACGTCTGGTGCATTGTACCTACTCGTATTAGTCTATTGTTATTTTGATTTTACAGCCAATTACAAATATTATTTGATATAGAACTTTACCAAACTAAATAAATTATACAACATGAGCATCTCAGTGTAATATAATACGTTATGTCTTATTTAATATTTTATTGAAATACTATTTTAAGATATTTTTTTTTTATATTGACAATTTTACAATTGAATTAATGTAGCCTATATATTTTATACTAAAATATTAAAGTACAGAGTATTGAAACGTAGTGTATTCCGCTGCCATTCATATTATAAAAATGAATAGCAATGTTCAATTTATTTATACAAGATATTCTCGAGTATAAAAAAATATTAATTTAAAGATAACAATTTGTATGCTAATATGATGGTGATTTATAAATAATTTTGTTTGTAATTTTAATTATTAGTCACGAGATATCATATTCCGTTTTATGACAATAGTAATTTGTATGTACTACAGTACCATGATTATTAACAATAAATAACTGATGAAAAGAGATAAGTGAAATCACACTATGGAAGTGATTTATTTTCAAATGAATTACATGTTTATTATTACATTTTTCAATTGCACGATCTCTTTAGAAGGATAAATGTATTGTACACAATATACATAGTTGATATAGTGGCCAGTGGACTGGAATTACGATGAAACCACATACTGCTATGTTCACGTTTCGGTAAACCAAGTCAATGTTATTTTATTTTCCGATATGAGGTCCTCGGTTGTGCTTCGCTAGTTTTGGTTGACACAATGGCAAAATCCCACAATGGGATTTGTGTTTCCTTAATGTCCGCACCTCAGACAGATTTATTTTGGCAATTTTCGACGTGATATATTTCAAGAGATGCGACAAAATGTGCGTGATGTTGTTTGAATACAAAACGCTGAGGGATTTATAGGACTGAATGGAGAAGTGTCATTTCACACTATGATCAAGTATTACATGACTATAAATTATTATGACTATATGATCTTTACGGTCGTTTAAGGCGAAAATATCACATGTGATAAAAATGAGTAAACAAAATATCAAAATATGTTGATTATCATAAATAAAGCTCGCTATAATAATACGAGTAAATATTAAGTATTTCATGTAAGCTACTGAAATTTAAAAAGATATAGATAATTTTTAATAGCTTAAATTATATAATATCATCATAATATGGTTTATAATTTTAAAAAGATAATGATGAATCATAAATGTTGATCTGTGATACACCGGTCGTTGTTTTATTTTAATGTACATCATTTTGCATAAAACACAAACACGATTTGAAAGACATGTAGGTACCTAAGTAATACATAATATTATATCATGTAAGAATGAAACATTAATACATGACAGTAAATTTGAAAAAATAAAATAAAATTTCTTAGTACATAGATAAATTAATACATGCAGCTTAGCAGCTTATACTTATCTACTAACTTTATGAATAAACATTTTATTAATGATTAAAACGAAGTTATTATTTGATTATATATATATATATACATTATATATATATATAACAACTTTATTAAGCGGACTGCCCACCRTGCGGGTTGCCAAAAGACACAGTATACAAAGTTCAATATTGAAATACATAGGATTGTTAACAATTATGAGATTATAGTAAATAAATATACCTAACCTAACCTATAAAATGGCTGTTTATTCTAAATGGATTAAATATCTACTAGATAGAATTAATTAAGATTTAAAATAACGAAGTCTCTTGGGTAACAAATACAAATATCACCTAATTTAATTACATAAATTTAATTCTAATTTGCTTATAGTCCTTGAACATATTTCGTAAATTTTAAGTTGTTATTTGGACGCTTAACTATAAATTATATAACTCATAAATCTACTAATTGTATTACTTCAACTAAAATTGTATCAACATCATATTTGTACAAATAGTCCATAATGCTAAATATGAATATAAATAAGGCGGGCAATGCCTAGGTATTTTTATGAATATTTAATAAGACAAGCATTATGTTTTGTATAGGATAACTGCGTGCTTAACGCAAGAAGGAATCTTTTTGTTTTCGAAATAATGAATGTTTTAAATTAAAAGAATCGCCCTGTATACCAGTCCTGCTTATTTTATTAATATAACAGCTGGGTAATTACAATTTTTCAAAAAGTCGATTTAATGTTAAATGTTAGTATATGCGAGTTTTGAAATTACTAGTTTCATTACAAAGCTCATTAATCATGAGCAAAAATATCTCGATGTTTGGCGTTAAAAAGTGACAATTTAAGCATTGTTAATTTATCAGTCTTTTATATAAGATATACATTCGGTTTTTTGTCATCTGCAAAAATAAAGTAACCAGTGACAAGTCTGAAAATATTTCTCAACCAGAGTGTTTTTTTATGTAAAATTTCTTATTGAAAGTGATGCTATTCTCATCATAATAATTATTCAACAATCAACTGTGAGAGAAAAGTTTAAAGTAAAAAGTTATATTATTAAGATAATAAAACCATTCAATCAAAAATATATTCATATATTTTTGTGGCATTTTTTAGTTRCATAAGGAACCACTCGCACATTATTTATCCAATCAAATACAATTAGCTCAATTCATCTTAAAATGCAATGAAACTTGCTATACGCAGGTTAGGTCAATTTCAAAAATGTATGACAAAACCAATAATGAAATAAAAAATTAATTTTACATAAAAAGTGTATAATTTTAATTTCCAGTAGTAGTATACACACGTGAAAATATTGTTTGGTTATTTAAGAATTTATGCTTTTACAGTATTAAAATAATCTTCCATAAAAATCTAAAACTCTAAAATCTATAAGTCTTCTATTTAATATTATAATAAAATATAGGAAAGTTATTTTATTTAACTATACTTCACATGTTTAAAATTGATTCTACATTTGATTAAATAATATTTTCATACATAAATATTCTAGTTTTTATATTTATCATAATATTATGCTGGAAATGACGTGTAAAGATTCGTATTTTATTTCTTTTTCATGCCAATCCCTTTTCACCTAAATAATTTTTAAAGAATTCTATTGTACAAAGGCAATCTGTTTAGTCATTTTTTGCGACAACAGCTATCTCAATCCGTAAAAGTCTTTTTCCACTTTATAACTTATCCAATATTTATCTAACATATAAACAAATAATTTCTATCAATATACCAAGATTCGGAGATACAGTTTATTAAATAGAATTAAACGATTGGAAATAACCTAAAATAATGAACAATTCCAATATTGKCTATTCAAATATCTAATCTTCTTTCAGAATAGTACGAAATACATTTTTTGTTTAGAATTAAAAATTGTTGATATGTTCTATAGAAAAATACTTATTTAATTATTTTGATGTCCAAACATATATTAATTTGGAACTTAAATTTTGAATTAAAGTATTAGATTCACTATACATATTATAAATATTAAAAAGTTCTGTCCAAATTGAGTCGAAATCGATATTTAAATTAAATTTGTTCTTAAAATGAACATGTTCATGATTTAAAATGAATATTTAAATATTATTTTATTATTGTATATTGTATTTTTACACTAAKCATGCATTATTTTGATATTTATTATAATTACAATATCTGCAGTGTTCCCACCAAAGCAATTGAATTTATAAACTGTTATACATAATAATATATGTTTAATATGTGTCAAAAAAAGCTTACGTAATTCATAGCTAAATCTGGATGATTTGTTTGTATACCATCATCGAGTATGGACACAACAACTCCTTTTCCTGTGTATCCTTTTTGCCAGGCTGGTCCTATATTCATATCAAATCCTCCTTTGGCGCCTCCATTCTAAATATATATATAACTATATGTATTAAAATGTATAAATATATATTTATACATATATATTAAATATAAATGTGTATATAGTGAAATAACATTTTAAACTTATATTCGCTTGCAAGTTTATGTATTTATGTCAAACATAAAGCTTTAGTAATCATTCTGGACCAACTGGACAAGTGATTCATTTCCCTATGTGGCAATAATTTTGAACCATGTATTAGTGACAGTTGTAATGTCATCGGTTCTCGTAGAGCAATAAATATAGCTTGCAGCCGGATTTCGCAATAACAATAAAAGGCAACATTATAATATAGTGTTGTAAAATATACCAGAATTACGTATTCCTGTAATTATTATTATTAGTACACGTGAAATTACCAAAAATTCCTACATAATAGTGTCGCTTCCAGTGACTGATACTTTATTTTTATAAATTTACCAAATTATTGGCTAATAAAACAATAAAATATGTTGAGAATGAAGGTAATAACAATTTACAATCAGATGTCACTAAAAAAAAAATAATAAACAATTCATTATAACAGATTTTATCATGATAATCATAAGAATTTTAAGAAAAATGTAAAACTAAAAGATAGTATAAATTCTAAGTAAGTAGTTAATTATTATTTTCAATATAACATACAATAAATAAATATTGTATTAATGCTATAACAATTTTATTACTTAAAACAAATTCTAATAATCATATTTAAAAGCATAAAGAAAATTATATAAGACCATCATCAAATGTTTTTAATTGAAAAAAAAAAATCTTCTAAGATAGTATATAAATTGAATATTTATTTACATTATTAACGAAATATAACAATGTTTTTGATAATAAATTTATAAATAAAAAATAAATGCATGTTATTATGATTTGTAATTAACGAATTATGCATATATGTATAACTATTTCAGATAAACTAAATAATTATCACTGAAACTTTTTAAACTTAAAACAAATGTAGTAACTCATACAATTTATTATGCGTTGTATTGTTTTAAATGAAAAAAAAATTAAATCATTATTTTTGAAAATCGTTGATTTTTATAATTCGTAAATCCAAAATGAAGACTTTTAGATAATAGCCAAAGACAAATATCTACTTTTGTAGAAGTTTGCAAGGTTATTGCATAAAATTAATTCATTAGTGTAATTTTATGCAATTATCAATCACTGGTGTTTGACTAACATTCTGTTTGGTAAGTTATAAAATACACCATACCCTCAAAATAAGTACCTAATGATTTATAAATTTAAAAGTGAAATATCTCCTTAAATAAAGAATTATCATGTCTTATTTTGTGACTTATAAGCTAGAACATTTAATAATTTAAACAAAATAAATAAACTTTAATCTTATTAAACAAGCATTTTATTTAAAACTGACACAGAAACATTAATTTTAACTAAAAATCGTATAACCTTGATTTGTTCAATTACTTTCACATAATTACTTTGAAAAACAATATCTAATACTTTTGGTTGCATGTAATTGTTGATGTTTTTGTAGGTATTTGGCAATTTTGTGAAGAAAAAAATTTAGTTACAATCTTAAGTATAAAATTACTTCAATTTTTTTAATTTTTTAATAACACAATGAGCCAAAATTTTATAAAATTTTATTTTTTTAAACAATATTATAAATTGTTTTTTAAAAGATAATATTATATTTTATAATTAATTATTGTAAATCTATAGGCATTATTATAATACTAATAAGCAGTTATATTGTTATATATACCAATTATATGAATAAATACCTCATTAGTAATATTATTTCATTAAGAAAATACTGCAAAAAGGTAATAAACTAAATAATTTGATGTATTTGAACATAACTTTTTTAAATTTAAATATTTCGATGTTATTAAGTGCAAATTATTTATTGGAAAAAAGTGATATATAAATATGTAAAATACTCATTTTTGGTGCCAACAAATCAAGGCAGTTAGCCAAATTTAACTTGTTTTTTTATAATAATATTTATATTTTTTCCAGTCAAAAAGATATTCTAATAAATAAGAGAAATCAAGATAATATTTTAAACTATTAAACTAATTTTGTTTCATAAAATCAAACTTAAAATTTTAATTATCATATTATATTCAATTTAGAATGAACCATTGTAATTGCAATATAAAGATATAAATAACCTGTATGATTTTCATTACCACCTAAAATGAATACATTTAAGACTTTTTTTTTCGAATACTTTTTATGAACCCGCTAAATATTTAGGAAGATTATTTATTATTATTAAAATAAAAAAGTGAAAACCATTTTTTGAACTATTCTAAATTTTAAATTACCATAATAGGTATTATCTTTTATGTATTATCAATATTATTTAGATTTCTCTATAATCCATCAATTTTATATACTGGACCATTTTTTTCCTCATCAATATATTAATAGTTATAATAACATATAAAGCAATTAGTTATACAATTTAATTGATTAAGTAAACTGTCAATTATACTCTTCAAATAAATTAACCGTTTGTTTATATTTTAGTAGTTTCTGTCAATCGATTGGTCATTGAACAATTAGTATTAAAAGATTGTTATTGAATTGGAAACATTATTTAAAATATCACTTAAAATAAAATGTATTTTAAATCTAACTGAAATATACAGTTAGATAAATGGACTASAACTTATGAGAAAATGAAATATACAATATACATATACATATTTGATATTTCAACAAAAAATAAAATAAAATATAGAATTTAAACTTGTTTATTTAAGCATTTTAAGTCAATTTTTTAAAAAATCAATAAACGTATATACATTTTAAGGATTGAAATTCAAATTTTTAGTTAGAAATGCAATTTCACAAATTTTTAAGCAGTTTCAATTTTAAAATGATCAGTATAATAGGCATTATTGATTGTACTTTTGAATAATTTTTTTTAAATATATGCATTTTTTCCACCAATCTGATGAAAAATCTATAGAAAAGCGTTATTGAAATAAACATATTTAAGTAAATGCGATAATATCTGAGATTGATTCGAAAAGGCTTTGACATATGATGAATTAAAATTTAGTTTCACAACACAAAATCTAACATTCCTAGAGTAGTTAAGTGGAGTAGTGTTATTTTTGGCGCACTCAACATCAAACATATTTATGAAATGAAAGAATATTGTAATTATTTTAAGTTTAAATATACATATGGATATACAAAGGGACATGATATTCACCGATGAAATACTAATGAAAATCCTGAGGTATCAATGATCGAAAACACTTTCAATTTAAACAACCATAATAGGGTAGATTATCCTTATTTTATTATAAATTTGAGTGCAAAAATAAATTATATAATTAAAAAAAAGATTTTTAGTAGAAACTGTGACATATGGTTAAGATAAAAACAATATTATGATAATACATTATTTTTTCGTTATGAATTATGTAAATTTATTTTTATTATGCATTTTAACGACAGAAATTTGCTATAGTTGTATCAAGTGTATTCAAAGTTTAGGTATCATATTTTATAAAAAAAAGTTCATGCTTAAAAAAACTCTTTATTTTTTTTACACTTTATTAAATATTGTAAACGATATGTAAATGGAATAATTATGATGTAAGGAGATGATATTAGAAATGTATATTATTAAATTATCAGTTTTTTTTCCAAATTAATTATTACAAAGTTTTAATAGTATAGTAGATATATATATAAAGTATTAAATCAAAATAGATTTTGTTCAATTTTAATATTAAAAGAAATCAATCTCAATGTAAAGATTTTATTTTGCTGTTTGTAAAAAAGTTATTAGCATATTAGAATAAGCCCAAAGGATAATATTTCAAACGTTCAACCCTCACAATCAATGATTCATGAATAATTATACACAAATCATCTTAAAATTGATTTATTTTGATTCAAAGTTATTTAAATATAAATATTCCATTTTTATTCTTTTCCATAATTTTATTGAGAAAAATAATTTGATGCCGTAATCTACATTCGATCTCACAGGATATTCAAATTCGCTAGAGTAATAATTATTATAAAAAAAAAACCATAATTTATTTCATTTATTAAGTACAAGGTACAATATGGTATGGTTATCGAGATTCAGATAAATTATAATTCATTGTTTAAGCTGTAAGGGGGGGGTGAGAGTGAACTGATGAGTTCAGCCGTTTAGTGGAGTAGTGGTCTAACATTTTTCGAAGAGTTTTGGACAGTTTTGCAGTTTTGGACAGCTAGATAGTTTGGTCTAGTTTTTGCATATTTTACATGATTATTTGTATCTGGGCCTTACGTATAACATACTGATATTATACATATAGAAAATAAAATTGTTTTTGCCCAATCACTATTCCTTCATTTAAAAATTCTATCTAAGTAGGTAACCGTTTATAACATAATTGTATTTTATCTAAATATACCTTATTACGATTTAAAATTGTGGACGTACACTTCGCAACTAAATTATTATTAAAACACAATTCCACATACTTTCAAAAAGTTGTGGCACGACATTTCAAAATGTCTGTTACCAAGTGTTTGATATTTTGAATTTTTTGAGCATACATATTTGTTTTGTAGTTCTCTGCATCAAGGACTTTATGACAAGTTAATTATTATAATATTAGCAGTTGAAAAATAAAAGAAATTCATATTCACAATTTATTTTTATAAGCATTCAAAGTTAGAATTTTGACAAAATACGTAAAAATTACAAAAATTCACAAATTATTTTAAGCTAGAAATTCATAAAAAAATTTCTTTTTAAATCTAAGATTTGAAAATTTAATACAAGATTCCTTACAAGTTTTTCAA